CCTAAAGTTGAGTCTGTTATCCCACTGAGGCTAGTTTTAATGGAGATGTTATGAAAGCCACAAGGCTCTGTAGGTGAGAAGGTAAAGGAAGAAGCACCCTTCATCCTAAACTCCTGCTCCTCATAGCCTCCTATTGATGTCTTTGCAGGTCTCCTTTAGCTTCTCAGTGGAACTACAGTCTGACTGTGACCATAGGGCTTAGAGTCTCTGAGAGTTCACTGATGCAACTTTACTGTATCTTACCATTATCTAGCAGGGAGATAAGGCATGGGGTTATGCCCATCTTACAAATAGGAAACTAAGTGTGATCTTTAAGGAAGACAATCACTCAGACCTTTCCTCTTTTTTCCTGGGACCTCTGAATGCATCTACTGCCCTTTCCTACCCATCTCATACATTCTGTGTGCACAGAAGCCTCAGAGTCACTAATGACAGAAGCTCAACTCTGAGTCGATGGGGTTAAGTAGAGAGATGAACAATCCAGACCATTACCTATGAAGAGATCCTAGGAGGTCCGGGCAAGTCCTGGGGGCTCTTACTGGCAGGTGAAGTTGGGTGCTGCACTGAGTTGTAGCAGGAGCCCCCAACTCTGGTCTTCCCCTATCTTTTGTCAGGGAGCCTCTAAGATCTCTAAGTGAGGAGACACTGGATTACTCCATGGGACTGGCAGCTGCAGGTGGAGGATTATGACATTTCCTAGTGTGAATTTCTCTGCTTTGGAAGGGTCTAAATCCCTCTACTCATGATGGACTCTGAGGAAAAGAGGTGAGGGTATGGAAAGAGAAGTTTGTCCTAATTAAAGGCCTTTCCCTGTCCATATATATTCTCAAGCCCATGAAGTTTAAGATGTGTGGAATAGGGACTCAGAATGTCTTACAGGCAGAACTGGGGTAAGGACTCTGAAATATTTGTTCATTCAAAGAGTTTCTTTAGGGCTGAATAAGCCATGGGCTATATCCCAAACACATAAATAGCCAAGACAGTCGTGTGACCCACCCTTATGGCCTGTGCAGTGACTGGACATTAAGCAGTCTTCCTCTCTGTCCCCAGTGTTACACAGGGGCTTCAAAGTCATAAGCACCCAAAAGATCAAAGGCCAATAGAAATGGTCCTTCACCTTGATGGAGAATTATGTGCATATCACCTGCATATCCTTATTTCCTCAGAAGGGCATTGCTTCCCTGACTCCCAACCTCACCAGCCCTGTGAAACTCTACTTAGCCAAACTCATGTTCTCAGAGAACAAGGCCAGCAGTTTTGCAATACACAGTCATCCCCCCTCCCCTCAAAAAAAGTCCAGTTTAGTTTTCTGTCACATTTTTGCCATGTGGTAAGCAGCTGAAACCAAAAAGATCAAAGACACCATATCCACATGCAATGAACATGTGTCATTCTTTCACTGTGACCAAAGTAAAGGGACCCTCCTCCTCTGGATCTCTGATTGTAGACTTTGAGCCTCACTTTGGTGTATGGTACATGCTGGATAGCTAGTTTGTGCAAGCATACCCTAAATGCTTCTGTTAACCACAATCTTGAAAAACATAGAGATCCTGTCCTCCCTCTATGTTCCCATCAAGCAGAATGTGCAGCAAAGCATATTATTCAGTGTTCAGGGTCAAGGGCTCTGGGAGTGGCATTGTCTAGCTTGCAGTGAAGAATGTCCAAGTGTCAGGCCTTGATCTCCTTGGAAATGCTGGCAGTGCAGGGAGGGGAAGGGCCACTGACAGTTGCTTGGTTACGTTGTTATGATATAAAAACTAGTTGCACATAGATCCCAGCAGTGGATGCTTTACCCATTTGGCTACTCTGAGACTCGCTGTATCTAAGTTTCCCTAATAAATCTATCTCTGTCACTATACCCAGGTCTTTTCTTTGGCCTCACTGGACCATCACCCACCGTAGGCTTTGGAGTCTGCTGGTATGAGCTGAACATTTGAAAATACTTGTTAAAACTAAACAAAGTTTGTTCTTATGATATCTACCATATTGAACTTTGGATAAATAGAAGCTAAGCTAATCATACACAGGATTAACCATTGAAATTTATGGTTAAAGACAAAAATACTTATGTTCTTGGTTCTCCCTAAAAGTGGATTGTGGATACAAAGTTCAAGAGAGAGACCTATCAATACTAGATCTGAAACACAGTGCAAACTTAATATGTTACCTAACATGAGCTTTTAATACCTATAAAACTCTGAAAACTGAATATGGTTTTGTATCTTTCTAGAATCTGAAAAGTGTAATATAAAATAGTTATCTTGAAACTCAACTCATAGTGCCATAAAAAATACATAAAATTACTACCTTGTTCCCAAAGGGTAATTTTTTTTTTTTATTCCCATCTTATAGAGAAAGAAACTGTGTGAAATAAGACGGATCCAGCTACAGGAGTGATGAGGGTAATTTGAGAAGCTGTGGAACCAGATGCCCTGTTTAGAGATCCACGTGTATTTCATAGATTGGTGGGTTATCATGGTGGGGAAAATGGATACTTTGTCTCTTCATGACACAAATCTTTTCCTTTAAGCAGCGAATTACTCTATAGCTAAATAAGTTCATATATAAATACATAGTACATTCATATAAAGGGTGAAGTGGTCATCACAAAGCCAGTTATAAGTTTCATGTTGGCTTTAATTCTACAGGACACCAGTTTATCAAATTTCATTTCTTGATCTTAGAGGGTCTTGAAGCTTTGAGAAGGAAGTAACAGGAGTAAAGACCTATTTCAGATATGAAAAAGCATGTGTCTTTTTCTTGGTAAGATTACAGAGCTTAAAAGGTCAAATCGCTTTTCTTTTGGTTGGGCTATAGAAACTCAGTGTGGTAACTTTAGGTGTTTTATGCTAATTAGAAGCTGGGTGACAATGTGTGGATTTGATTAATAATAGTTGCTTTAAAATTATGCTTGACAGACAAATTCTCTTAAAACTTGAAGTCTATGAGGGGGTTATAATAATGAAAGGCAGATGGGTGGTGAATCATTAATGAAACCAGTGATGGAAAACAGGCCTTGGGTCAGGTCACCCAATTTTTGGTTGATGAACAGTTTCACCAGCAATTCCGTCACTTTTGGATTAGCCTAGTTTATTGGTAAATACTTAAAGAGAATCATTTATTTACTAAATATTTACTGGGACCCGGATGAAAAGTACAGTGCTAAGTATCAGGGAGAAAATGAGGAATGGGACCTATGTCCTTGATTGTGCTATTCTGCTGGCCCCTGCAGATCTGTGCTGTGACTTGCTCTATGCCCCCAGGAGACTGATCCCTACAGCAGGAACACTAGGCCCACTTGGCCTCTGCATTCTGGCTAGTTTGAGTTAAGGAGGTTACCAGCACAAGATCGGAGGGCAAGAGAAAAGAGAGGTTGGATGTTTGTTCCCTATCTTCCTCATTGCCCATCCTGGTTTGGAAGTGACTGTTTCCTTTGCCTGTGGCTGCTGCTCTGCCTGTAGTTCCAGCTCTTGCTACATTCTGGTCACTCTTACTTGTTCTTGCCCTTCAGGCTTAGAAGCAATAGCAGTTTCGTACTGTAATGAGACATTAGATGCTTCATCACTCCTTGTTGGAGTGGCTAATTCTAGCTGCACCTCTGAAAAAAATGTTATTAAACTTTCTTCAGTGAAACTCTAATTAGACTGTGTATACTATTTCCTGTTAGGATCCTGACTGATAGAGCTCCTGCCCTTGAGTTGTTCACCAGACAAATCAATAAACAGTGACTATTCAGCATGAGCGCAATTGTGATGAAAATTCTAGTTTCTGGCTTACTAGTTAGCAGCTCACCAATGTAAGGAACAAAGAGAAGAATGTAAAATGGCAAGTACAGCAACCATCAAAGTAAACACCTAGAGATGACTGAACTAAACCATTCTTTCAACCTATATTTATTTGTTTGTAACTTATTATTGGGTAAGGAATTATGTGGGGGAATTGGATTTAAAATGGACTAATGGGATAAATTCAGTGAGATTAAAAACTAATAAATGGGGATCCCTGGGTGGCGCAGCGGTTTGGCGCCTGCCTTTGGCCCAGGGCGCTAACCTGGAGACCCAGGATCGAATCCCACATCGGGCTCCCGGTGCATGGAGCCTGCTTCTCCCTCTGCCTATGTCTCTGTGCCTCTCTCTCTGTGACTATCATAAATGAATAAAAATTAAAAAAAAAACAAAAAAACAAACTAATAAATGTAAATACAGTAGAAAAAGAAAGACTTGAAGGCATAGTGGGCATATAAGCATACTGGCTCAAAGTTCTCAGCTTCTGATGTCATTTGTAAGCTCGAATGTGATTTACATACGATTACATATTAACAGACCATTTTCTGTACATTTGCTTTTATTCCTAAAGCAGTTCCTAGACTGTGCAGGGCATATGTGTGCTTTGTGTAAGGATGTGCTTTGCGTAAGTTGCACAGCTGGTCCAACATTTTAGGGTTGGGTGTTTCCATCAAGGACAAAGTTTTTGGCTATGACTTCATTGTCTCCAACTCTACTAGAAAAGAGAAACAACAAGGCAGCTGGAAGAGTGTCCCAAAGTATCTGCAAAAAGGAGCAGTTATGTCTTATCTGTCTTCCTAATCTGATAGTAGACTCAGTTTTAACTTTTGGCCTCACTAGATACTGCCGCCCTCAATTCCTTTCTAAGACCTGCAGAGGAGACCAGTCCTCATCGGAATGAGAACCTTCCAAACCTTCCATTGCATTTGTTACTTAAGAAACACTACTGGGCATCTAATCTTGTTAGCCTCTCTGCTGGCGGCTGGAGAGAGATGAATAGTCATGAAGGAACAGGCCCATAAACAGAATACTACCATGTACCATCACGCGCTCAATGACAGAATCATACCCAGGTTAATGAGTGAGTGGACAAGCACTGAGGTCAGAGGAGACATTCTGGAGGAGTGAAGACTAACCTGAATCCTGATGACTAAGCAGGAATTTGCTAAGCCAAGGGAGCAGGATGGGAGAATATTCTAGGAGGAGGAGTAGCAAGAGAGAAAACAGGGAAGAAGAAACCCAAGCATGATGTGTGCAGGAGAGAACTCAGGCATTTTAGTGCTGCCTGAACCTGTCAGGTAGTACAGGGGGTGGTGGGAGGTCAGCCAGCCCATCACACAGGATCTTTAATTCATTCTCATATGGAACAAAGGTTAGTTTATGAAGAAATGATGTAATCAGATTTGCCTTTAAGATGCCTCACCTGAGGACTGTGGGGAAAAGCGTGGAAAGAACAAGAAATAAGGTAAGTAAGGTAAATGGAATTTCCTAAAGTTCTCCTTGTAATTACCTTGGAGAAAGGTAATAGGATAGCAACATTGCTCATTAAGTATTGACAATTTCCAAAGATTAGAGACAATTAAGAAGGTCATACAGGCTATGTTTTTGGTGATTACTAGTAAAATTAAATTTAAAAACTCAGTAAATCTAACTAGAAGAATGTCATGATTCCCAAAGTATTACTGAGTTTATTTCCAATGAAAGAAGCAGTTAAGTCTATGGTATCTAGACCCTGAATTCTCTGTTGTGTTTCAGGGGAAATAAGCCAGGGAAAGAGAAAGCTCTTCCCTGGGAAGAGGGAAGGGAAAAGGAACAATGAGTTCCTGCTGTGATGGAAAGGAGAAGACATCAGTGTGGTCTGAGCTGTGGCCACAGGGTGCACCTGCACTTGGCATTCTATCCATCCTTTCCAGGTGGAGGCCTTGTTCTCTCTCCCACCTGAATAGGAACAAACTGGGGCCCAAGCAGAGCTGGTCGACAAGACAATGGACCAGGCATGCCGTCTCTACTTTACACATCCTGTCTACACTGGGACTGTGAGGGATCCTGCTCTGGGGCCTGACAGGAGTTAATGTGGTATGAGGAGGTTGGTGATGCTTTCTCCTTTACACTCAGAAAGCCTTTTTGTATATTAAAGAATGGAAAGGGAGAATGCTCAGTTTGGGCACTGCCATGGGTGGGCTTGGAGGCTTGGTGGGCTTGGAGGCCTTGGATGGGCTAGTCCAGAGCCATTCTGCAACAGACAGGGACATGTATTTGATGGTTATTACAGGCATTTGGGCAAGAGATGAGGAAACAAAGCAGGACAAGAGCTAGCAGGGAATGAGAGGGAATTGATTCATATATAGGAGGTAAAGCCAAGGAGCCTTGATGAGTCATTAGATGTGAAGACTGGTGCAGAGGAGGAATTCAGCATGATGCCCAGCTTTCCAGTTTGAGTGGGTGGTGGGACCACAAACTAAAATGGAAAACCCAGGAGATAGATCCCTTTGGGGGGCAATAAAGGGTTTTTTTTATGAGTTTGAGTTACCCCAATGATTATCCCCCAGTAGTTGGAGAGATCATCCAGATGACTAAGGTCAAAATGCCAAGCTATTCTTAGGGGAAAGTACTGGGCATGGACTATCAGGTATAATCCCATTGTGTAAGTTTTGAAAAGAAGAAGAATATTCTTGAAAAGGTAGAGAGACCTCATATTAGCAAGTCTCCTAAGTGAGGTGGGGAGACTTCAGGGAATGATTAGGTGTTTCTCCTTTCAGGGACTCTTACTATTCCTGCAAACGTTGCCTAATGCACCAACACCAAAAGAACATGCCTGACCTCCTCTAGGAAAGTCTGGAAATAAACATCCAGGGTAGCGAAGTAGCTCACTTTCTTCATTTTACTCTTACTGCGATTAGAGGAAAGACTTTGGAGAACAACACGTTCTCCATGGCTTAATCACTCATGAAGCAACTGGGGGAAAGGATGAAACAATATTATTCAAAAAAGAGAAACCTCAGAATATGAGGAAACTGGCTTTTAAAAAATGACCGATGCTATAGTAATTTAAGTTTCAAAGTGATAACATCCAAATTCGGTGTGATTTATCATACCAAGCATTCTAGAAACAAATAGGAATGAAACAGGGCCTCTAATAGTGCTAGGGTTGAGGTCCTAGAACCCAGTCCTGTCTCTTTTGGAGGTATTACACCTTTAACAAGCTGACTCACTCAAGTTTCTTTAGAATTCAGCCAAGTGCTTTCCAGGACATTTGGTGGCTTCTTGGCAAGACCCCATACTATGATTCTCATTTGTCAGAACTAAAGCACTAACATGGGCCCCCTATTTTGCAAAAGTTAAGTAGAAGTGCTTTATCACCTTTAATTCATATGTAGACACTCCTCAGTATTCCTTTCCAAGATACAGAGAAATCAGGAGCCCTCATTCTAGTTAAGGCTTTCTTTTCTAGAAAGTTAGAACAAGATGGAACTTCAAATGTTGAGAGTTGGAACTCAGGCCTCTGAATCAACTGACCACTCATACTTTTGACTAAAGCTCTAATCCACAATCACACTATGATATTTGCACGTGATGTTTTTTTTTTTTTTTTGGTATCCAAGTTTGTTTCACAATATGCTTTCCTGAATGAATAGTGCTACATTTGAGGTATGCCAAATAGTTATGTAAGTATATGGTTCTTTGCCAAAATTTGCCTCAAACTCTATCAAATGCCAGCAAAGTTAAAACAATGGTTCCCCCCATCCCCAAGTGTACAACTGCAGGTTCAAGGAAACACTATTTTTAATTAAAATGTTGACTTGATATTTAAGTGAGAATCTTGTTCATTCACAATAGAGAAAAATAAATCCAAATTTGAAATTAAATATATGACTGCTGGAACAAGTGGTGGCCAAGAATATACTTTGCTACTTCATTCAATTCTTTGGTTCACATGATGATGTATTTAGTGTGTTGGATTGTTGGTACTGCCAGAAATATATAATCCTCTCAGCTGGATTGTTGAATCAGTCAAGAGTGCATAGTGTCCATTGGGCACAGGATGCTCTACTAGGTAATATTTAAAGAAAGGAATTGGAGTATAGTCCCTGTTTTCTGAAACTATATGTGTAATGGTTTAACCTCTCAAGGAGGGCATCAGTTACTTCTCTATAGGTCATAGGGTGACTGGCAATGTCAGTAGGTAGTGGAAAGAACTAGTGGAACCCGAGGCTGATTGCCTGGAATAACAGGGGTTTTTACTTTTTCTGTCATACTTTTTCTGTCATGGAATCTGACTCTGAAGAAGTGAGGAACAAAAAGATGGATAAACGTATATGCATGAGAAAGATAAAGACTAGTTTTTGAGGCCTCAGCTAATTATTACAGAGGATTATAAAATATTTTAGATATAAAAGGAATGAGAATAAAAAATGCTGGAGGAAGGAATTTTGCAGATTGGAGTTGAAGCCATAGGGGAAAGCTATATATAGTCTTTTCCTTCCTCTAAGTAAAAATCATTTTATATCAATCTTGGTGAAAACTAAATCATGTTCTTTTTTGGACAAGTGCATAAGGGAGCAGACTATTGAGATAAATAGATTTAAAAAAATGTCCTTAAGGAATTAGCATTTTTTCATGTTCATAAACCCAAACAATATTATTAACATTTTAAGGCAAATACTAGCTGTGCTGGCCTTTTTCTCTCAGTAGGAGGCTGTCAATCTTTCCAAATTACAGGCCTTTGATCATGTGGTTCCTTCAATGGGAGAATTTTGCCTGTCTCTCTGGAGTGCTGGTTCCAGCTCAAACTTCATATGTGAACTTAAAGTGATCCTGTCAGTTGGCTGTCCAAAATTCCTTATAGAAAGCTGAAAATTCCTTCTGCACCCCCCCTTTTTTTCTGTAACAAAGTAACTTGGTCATTCCCCTATTTAGCACTTAGCACAAATTTATGTAATATATGTTTATTTACTTTTCTTACTAAATGATCTTTTACTATACTATATGATCTATAAGGGCAGACACTGTGTCTGTTTTATTTGCCACTGTGAGCTAGGTATTTACCTAACTCAGTACTTGGTACATGGTTGAAGTGGGGGGGAAAATTGCCATATGAATTAATACCTCTCACACATTTAAGTGATTAAAATTTTAGTGATTAAAATTTATTTAAACAAGAAGCTTAAATAAGAAGGATATTTCTTCTAACATTCCTCTAGGTATTTCTTGCTCCTTTGTCCTTTCATATAACATCCACTTTGACACTGCTTCATGGGTTCATTGACTAAAATGAAAAATATACAAAAACTATCAGTTTGCTGATCTCACCTTACAGCCAGTGTTTTCTGATGTTTCAAAAAACCATTCACAGGCAGGTTTCCCTGGTAAGATAATAAAAAGTCTCTTTAGTATTTGGCCATGACAAGTTCAGAAATGGAAAATTATTTCAAAAAGTTTCATAACAAATATTAAATATATGAAATAATGGCATATGTAACATTTGTAAAAAAATAATTGATAGGAAGTTCTAGTCCAATCAAGTGAAGTTTATTTCAAAAACCGACTTAATTCCTTCTTGGATTTATTTCCTTTGCTATAACTCTACTTGAAAATAACTGCAGTTGTCTTTACTTAATGTTTTTAAGTTTGAGATAAGAGACAATTCATTTCACGTATTTTTCTGATTAAAAATTCTTCTTGCTCCGCGTGGAGGGGGCAGCGTGGCCCTGGGAGTGTGATTCCAGTGGCGCAGGCCCTGGATCCCAGGGTGCTGGGGTACACAGCCCAGGATCTGGCACTCCCCCTAGGACACAGGACAGCGAGGACGCTCGTGCCACCCGGGACCCCGCAGCTGTGCAGATCAATGCCCCCACCCCACCCCAACATCCAGGCCCGTGTAGACTGGGAGCTGTGGTAGTTACTGCAGGAGCTGACTCTAGGGCTGGAGAGCTGGCCACCGCCATGTTCCTCCTGGTGTCACTCTGTGCCTGGGACAGAACAGGGGCCTCACAGGATAAGCAGCTCCCACTGAGCCATGCACCTGGCAGGGGGTGGGGCAGCTCCCCCAGGTGCACACACCTGAGAATCAGCACAGCAGGCCCCTCCCCCAAAAGACCAGCTGGAAGGACAGAGGAAGAGCAAGTTCTTGACCAAGCAGCACTGGAAAGCTCCAGGGGAAGTCGAGGGACTTACAGTATATAGAATCAGAGGATGCCCCTCCTTGGTTTTTGTTTGTTCATTTTTCTTTGTTTTGCTTTTGTTTTGTTTTTGTTTTTGCTTTTTGTTCTTTGTTCTTTCTTTGTTTTCCCCATTTTTCCCCTTTTTTTTTTCATTCCTTTTTCCAGTACAACTTGTTTTTAGCCACTCTGCACTGAGCAAAATGACTAGAAGGAAGAACTAACCACAAAGGAAAGAATCAGAAACAGTACTCTCTCCCACAGAATTACAGAATTTGGATTACAATTCGATGTCAGAAAGCCAATTCAGAAGCATAATTATAAACCTATGGTGGATCTGGAAAAAAGCATAAAGGATTCAAGAGGCTTCATGACTGCAGTATTTAGATCTAATCAGGCTGAAATTAAAAATCAATTAAATGAGATGCAATCCAAACTGGAGGTCCTAACGATGAGGGTTAATGAGGTAGAACAACGAGTGAGTGACATAGAAGACAAGTTGATGGCAAGGAAGGAAGCTGAGGAAAAAAAGAGAAAAACAATGAAAAGATCATGAGGAAAGGTTAAGGGAAATAAATGACAGCCTCAGAAGGAAAAAATCTAGTTTAATTGGGGTTCCAGAGGGCGCCGAAAGGGGCAGAGGACTAGAAAGTGTATTTGAACAAATCATAGCTGAGAACTTCCCTAACTTGGGGAGGGAAACAGGTATTCAGACCCTGGAGATAGAGATCTCCCCCCTAAAATCAATAAAAACCATTTAACACCCCGACATTTAATAGTGAAACTTGCAAATTCCAAAGATAGAGAGAAGATCCTTAAAGCAGCAAGATACAAGCAGTCCCTAACCTTTATGGGGAGACATATTAGGTTAACAGCAGACCTCTCCACAGGGAACTGACAGGCCAGAAAGGGCTGGAAGGATATATTCAGGGTCCTAAATGAGAAAAACCTGCAGCCAAGAATACTCTATCTAGCAAGGCTCTCATTCAGAATAGAAGGAGAGATAAAGAGCTTCCAAGAGAGGCAGAAACTGAAAGAATATATGACCACCAAACCAGCTCGGCAAGAAATATTAAGGGGAAAAAAAAAAAAGAAATATTAAGGGGGACTCTGTAAAAGAAAGAGAAAGTCCAAGGAAACAATCCCAAAAAGCAGGGACTGAATAGGTATAATGATGACACTAAATTCATATCTTTCAATAGTAACTCTGAATGTGAATGGGTTTAATGATCCCAACAAAAGGTGCAGGGTTTCGACTGGATAAATAAAGCAAGACCCATCTATTTGCTGTCTACAAGAGACTCATTTTAGACCTAAGGATACCTCCAGCCTGAAAATGAAAGGTTGGAGAACAATTTACCATTCAAATGGTCCTCAAAAGAAAGCTAGGGTAGCAATCCTCATATCAGATAAATTAAAGTTTATCCCAAAGACTGTAGTAAGAGATGAAGAGGGACACTATATCATACTTAAAGAATCTATCCAATAAGAGGACCCAGTAATCATGAATATTTATGCCCCGAATGCAGGAGCTGCCAAGTATATCAATCAATTAATAACCAAAGATAAGACATACTTAGATAATAATACACTAATACTGGGAGACTTTAACACAGCACTTTCTGTAAATGACAGAAATTCTAAGCACAACATATGCAAAGAAACAAGAGCTTTAAATGATACACTGGACCAGATGGATTTCACAGATATTTACAGAACTTTACATACAAACACAACTGAATACACATTCTTCTCAAGTCCATATGAAACTTTCTCCAGAATAGACCACATACTGGGTCACAAATCAGGTCTTAACTGATACCAAAAGATTGGGATCATCCCCTGTATATTTTCAGACCAAAATGCTTTGAAAATAGAACTAAATCACAAGAAGAAATTTGGAAGAAATTCAAACATGTGGAGGTTAAAGACCATCATGCTAAAAGATGAAAGGGTCAACCAGGAAATTAGAGAAGAATTAAAAAGATTCATAGAAACTAATAAGAATGAAGATACAACAGTTCAAAATCTTTGGGACACAGCAAAAACAGTCCTGAGAGTGAAATACATCACAATACAAGCATCCGTCAAAAAACTGGAAAGAATTCAAATACAAAAACTCACCTTGCACCTAACGGAGCTGGAGAAAAAACAGCAAATAAAACCTACATCCAGCGGAAGAAGAGAGTTAATAAAGATTCAAGCAGAACTCAATGAAATAGAGACCACAAGAACTGTGGAGCAGATCAACAAGACCAGGAGTTGGTTCTTTCAAAGAATTAACAAGATAGATAAATCATTAGCCAGCCTTATTAAAAACAAAAGAGAAAAGACTCAAATGAATAAAATCATGAATGAAAAAGGAGAGATCACCAATACCAATACCAAGGAAATACATACGATTTTAAACCTTTTTATGAGCAGCTATATGCCAATAAATTAGGCAATCTAGAAGAAATGGAAACATTTCTGGAAAACCACAAACTACCAAAACTGAAACAGGAAGAAATAGAAAACCTGAACAGGTCGATAACCAGGGTGGAAACTGAACCGTCATCAAAAACCTCCCAAGACACAAAAGTCCAGGGCCAGATGGCTTCCAGGGGGAATTCTATCAAACGTTTATAGAAGAAACCATACCTATTCTACTAAAGCTGTTCTGAAAGATAGAGATGGATTTCTTCCAAACTCATTCTATGAGGCCAGCATCACCTTAATTCCAAAGCCAGACAAACACCCCACCAAAAAGGAGAATTATAGACCAACTTTCCTGATGAACAGAGATGCAAAAATTCTCAACAAGATACTAGCCGATAGGATCCAACAGTACATTAAGAAGATTATCCACCATGACCAAGTGAGATTTATCCTGGGGACGCAAGACTAGTTCAACACTCATAAAACAATCAACGTGATAGATCATATTAACAAGAGAAAAACCAAGAACCATATAATCCTCTCAATAGATGCAGAGAAAGCATTTGACAAAATACAGCATCCATTCCTGATCAAAACTCTTCAGAGTGTAGGGATAGAGGGAACATTCCTCAGCATCTTAAAAGCCATCTATGAAAAGCCCACACCAAATTTCATTCTCAATGGGGAAGCACTGGGAGCCTTTCCCCTAAGATCAGGAACATGACAGGGATGTCCACTCTCACCACTGCTATTCAACATAGTACTGGAAGTCCTAGCCTCGGCAATCAGGCAACAAAAAGAAATAAAAGGCATTCAAATTGACAAAGAAGGAGTCAAACTCTCCCTCTTCGCTGATGACATGATACTCTACATAGAAAACCCAAAGACTCCACCCCAAGATTCCTAGAACTCATACAGCAATTCAGCAATGTGGCAGGATACAAAATGAATGCCCAGAAATCAGTGGCATTTCTATACGCTAATAATGAGACTGAAGAAAGAGAAATTAAGGAGTCAATCCCATTTACAATTGCACCAAAAACCTAGGAATAAACCTAACCAAAGAGGTAAAGGACCTATACCCTGAAAACTACAGAACACTTCTGAAAGAAATTGAGGAAGACACAAAGAGATGGAAAAATATTCCATGTTCATGGATTGGAAGAATTAATATTGTTAAAATGTCAATGTTACCCAGGGCAATTTACACATTTAATGCAATCCCTATCAACACACCGTGGACTTTCTCCAGAGAGTTGGAACAAATCATCTTAAGATTTGTGTGGAATCAGAAAAGACCCCAAATAGCCAGGGGAATATTGAAAAAGAAAAAGCCGGGGGCATCACAATGCCAGATCTCAGGCTGTACTACAAAGCTGTGGTCATCAAGACAGTGTGGTACTGGCACAAAAAGAGACACATAGATCAATGGAACAGAATAGAGAACCCAGAAGTGGACCCTGAACTTTATGGTCAACTAATATTCGATAAAGGAGGAAAGACTATCCACTGGAAGAAAGACAGTCTCTTCAATAAATGGTGCTGGGAAAATTGGACATCCACATGCAGAAGAATGAAACTAGACCACTCTCTTGCACCATACACAAAGATAAACTCAAAATGGATGAAAGATCTAAATGTGAGACAAGATTCCATCAAAATCCTAGAGAACACAGGCAACACCCTTTCTGAACTCGGCCACAGCAACTTCTTGCAAGATACATCCACGAAGGCAAAGGAAACAAAAGCAGAAATGAACTATTGGGACTTCATCAAGATAAGAAGCTTTTGCACAGCAAAGGATACAGTCAACAAAACTCAAAGACAACCTACAGAATGGGAGAAGATATTTGCAAATGACGCATCAGATAAAGGGCTAGTATCCACGATCTAAAAAGAACTTATTAAACTCAACAGCAAAGAAACAAACAATCCAATCACGAAATGCTCAAAAGACATGAAGAGAAATCTCACAGAGGAAGACATAGACATGGCCAACAAGCACATGAAAAAATGCTCCGCATCACCTGCCATCAGGGAAATACGAATCAAAACCACAATGAAATACCACCTCACACCAGTGAGAATGGAGAAAATTAACAAGACAGGAAGCAACAAATGTTGGAGAGGATGCAGAGAAAGGGGAACCCTCCTGCACTGTTGGTGGGAATGTGAACTGGTGCAGCCACTCTGGAAAATGGTGTGGAGGTTCCTCAAAGAGTTAAAAATAGATCTGCTCTATGACCCAGCAATTGCACTGCTGGGGATTTACCTCAAAGATATAGATGCAGTGAAATGGCAGGACACCTGCACCCCAATGTTCATAGCAGCAATGTCCACAATAGCCAAGCTCTGGAAGGATCCTCGGTGTCCATCGAAAGATGAATGGGTAAAGAAGATGTGGTCTATGTATACAATGGAATATTACTCAGCCATCAGAAAGGACAAATACCCACCATTTGCTTCAACATGGATGGAACTGGAGAGTATTATGCTGAGTGAAGTAAGTCAATCGGAGAAGGACAAACATTATATGGTCTCATTCATTTGGGGAATATAAAAAATAGCGAAAGGGAATAAAGGGAAAGGAGAGAAAATGAGTGAAAATATCAGTGAGGGTGTCAGAACATGAGAGACTCCTAACTCTGGTAAACAAACAAGGGGTGGTGGAAAGGGAGGTGGGCAGGGAGTTGGGGTGACTGGGTTACAGGCACCGAGGGGGGCTTTTGACGGGATGAGCACTGGGGTGTTACGCTACTTGTTGGCAAATTGAACTCCAATTAAAAAAAATTCTTCTCTGGGGGCTCTTTTAATTCATTAGGTCATAGGGTTCTACCTGTAAACATTGCTAATAGCTGAGGGAAATGTCTCTCAATGATTCTTAGGTAGAGATTGTATATATAGTATGTATATAAATATACGTAGTTATATATATATGTATTATGTATATTATTTATAAACTGTGACTCTGACAAATGCCTTGAAAATTGCTATTGCCAAACTTAGCTGATGATGAAGTTACTTCAAAAAGGAACCCCATGTACTTTTTTTAGATATTCAGCTATTTGGTGTTGTTTTTTTTTTTTTTTAAACCTAGATTAAACTAGATCAACAAATAGGAGAAGGAAAGTGAACTTTACTCCTTGGGTTCAAGCCACTTATAGGAAATGCTCATTGTATAAAAGTGGCTCAAAATTATTTGGAGATTTTGCAATCTGCCAAGGCAGATTTGTCTAAGCTATATTATGTCTTTGTATTAAAACCCCCAATTTCTGCTATACCCACCTTACTTATTTTTCTTATAAAACATCTCATATGTTTTTCAGGTGTTTTAATATTTTATTCACAGCTAGTAAAAGCTCAATAACAAAATAAAACTGACCTCTTCCAACAAAATATAACACCACAAAATATTTTGTAAAATATTTAATTTTTAAGAAATTTAGTTGTACATTAGATAGATATACCAATGTAGTTGCACCAAATGGAAAACATTTTTTTTGTTGTTGTTAAATCAGAGTCATTACTAAGTAAACAGGAACTTGGGGACTTACAATTCTATTTTACTGAGCCCAACATTAGGATATTTATTACAATGTAATTCTACCTGTACTTTTATATTTAAGTAATAGTATAAAAAGGCATGTTTTCTGAAAATATTAACATATGCTGGTAAAGTTTCATGCACTTTGTTATGTTCTTCAGTTTCACCTAGTTATATAATGATTATTCTTAAAGTTAATCATTAAAAAATGTGCTCTGCCCTTAAATGACCTTATTTCTCTCCTAATCTAATCAAGGAACTTGTACCATCCAATGAGCAGATCTGAAAACCTAATTCAAGTTAATTTACAATAAGTGTTTTTAAAAACAATTTCTATTTGAATCCAAAAAAATATGGTTACAATGTGTTAAAGACCATCCATAAAATGACCATTACCTTAGGAAATACATAAACTGTTATCTTTATATGCCCAATCTGCTTTAGGAGGTGGCAGCTGGTTAAATCTCTTTTAAAAAACAACAAACAAACAAACAAACAAAAAACTATTTCAATCCAGGCATAAAAATTCCAGCATAACTACAGCCTTAGGAAATGTAAATTTAAAATTTTAATACTGTTGACCTAAGTCCCGGGCTAATTCCCGGGAACAAGGGGGTAACAAGACTCTAAATATTTGTTTTATAAAGATTATATATCTTCACCAAATCTACTTCTGCTTGTATTTTTGAAACAGATACATGATCACAATGGAGGGATATGTGAAAGGGGAGCTCCAGGTCACCATCACACAATGAAGACTTCCAGGCGCTTAGACTCAAAACATCTAGACAGTTCAGAAGTTGAGAGGTAAAATGATCATTTTTAGTAATTTGATTCCATGCCTTCCAAATGACAGTTTAAGCAATTGTCCTTCTTATCTGTTATAGGAATCTTCAGGTAAATTCTGCTATTGGAAATCCTCTGGGCCTGAGGTCCTCACCAATTAACTTCTGTTTCATGGGTCTTTGATAAGAATACCTGAGTCAATTCTCAAAGCATCAGTATATTTGCAACAGGCTAGCAAGGGAAAATGATTTTTTCCGGCTGAAGAGAAAACATGTTTAAGGCTAGTAAAAGCCTCTTTTTTTCTTCTTTTTTTTATCTGAAACTCCTCTATTACCCTGAGTATGACAAATAGAACACAGTCACAGTATAAAGAACAGAGCCGAAGAAAGTGCAGGCAATGACACATGGGTACAAGCTCCTTTCAGGGTCTGCAGCTCTTTACCTGGAAAAAGCCAGTTAGGATTGTAAAATTTTTCTCTTTAATAATAATAATTCCACTAAAATTATACAAAGTACTTTCAATACTTAAGGGTAGTGAGGAAGATCATCAGTCAGTTCCAACAAAGGAAGCCCAGGTGGGCTGGGAGAAGTTGGGGGTGGAGGTCCGGTTGTAAAAAATAAAAATGTGGATCGGTTAAGAAAAAGGCCACCCACGAGGAAGCAGGGTGAGCGTGGAAGGAAGGGTAATGCAGCACCCTTAAACTCCGAGATGCCTAGCAGACTTGTAAAAGTAGATGAGATCTCCTCCTTCACTGTATCCCCAGAGCCTAGCACAGACACAGCTCTGGAGTGGGTGTTAAATTCTTAGTTGTTGAAAGACTGGATACATTAGTAAATAAAATAGGTTGTGGTACAATAGTAAAGATTTTCAAAACTATGCTAAGGCATTGGCATTTTGGGACAACTTGAGTTTTAGCAGTTTAGTGAAGGCCTATTATGTTAAAATGCAGTAGGCAGGAGACCTGGTATCCCACTGCTATGTTAACATGTCCAGATGACAGATGATTAGACTGAGCTACGGTCATGATCATGAGCAAAGAGAGGGGAGCATATTGGAGTGGGCACCACTGGGTCTTAGCATCAGTTTTGCATGTGCTAGGGAAGAGTGAAAAAAAAGTCAAATATGAGGCTGTGGCCTCTAGTCTGTAAAAGCAGAAAAAGTGGCATTATTTGCTGAGATAAGATGTACCGGTGAAATGTACCTTTTGTTTGGGACAAAGCTGATATGAGTGAGACATTAAAATGGAGGTATACAGGAAGTAGGTGGAAATTGAAGATCTTTGGTTTATAAATAAACATTTGGAAGTTACTGCATAAGGTAGGATATTTGCCTGAAAGCAGCATTCGTTTCTTTGGACAAGAATTAATAATGATTTTTCAAACTGGCCATATTAAGCTATTACTTTTGCTTAACTGAGTGGAGGTATTTGGGTGATTCTGACAGTTGGACCTATTGTTTTTTTATTATTATTACAAACAGTTTGAATGTTCATGATGTAATGATCTAGTAATCTAGACTAGATTTAGAGACAACACTGAAAAAGCATGCAGGGGAATAATTAGTGAGAATATGGATCTCAGATAAAGGTATAGTTCCTTTTGCTAATGAAACCCATATCCCTGGCACCTAGCGGATGTTCAGTAAATATTTATAGACTCAGTGAATGAGATCTATTTCATTTTGTAGACAGGCTCTCTGAAGGCTGTTTCAGACATCCATTAGATAGATGTCCCAATTGACATTTGTGTGAATTCTTCATATCCTCCTTCTACCCTTATCCAACCCTCTGAAGCAACACAGAGTGACAAGAAGACTAATGTTTGCCCAGAACTTGCCAGCTCTGTCCAAGGAGCTTGGTAGTGGTGGAAAGAGTGCAGGCTTTGCACTGAGTTTGTATCCTGGTGCTGCACCTGCAAGGTCTGGCAAGTTATTTACTTGCCACTCACAATCTTAGTTTCTTCAACTGGAAATGGTAACAAGAACAACAATAATAAAATTATTAGAAGAAAGTACATTTGAAAAAGTACTTTGAAAACTATAAAGTAAGTTTTTGTGGCATACTTGAAGAAATGAACATCTTTACATGAGATAAAAATAGCCAAGATGAAATCAACTCAAAAAGAAAATAAAAAAAGATACCAGTTTCGTTGAAGAGGATGGCTTTATAAATAGATGCACAATAGCAACCAGCTGTTCAAAATAATTGCCAGGCACTATCTGGTGATCACAATTTGAAGAAAGTCATCAAAGCAATTATTTCACACCAGATAAGTCCAGCGAATCTGTTGAACCCTCTTGCTTGTTGTGAACTCATTTTTTCTGTAATAAACAATGACTTAAACTGAAAAAAAAAAAAAAGGCTAATAGAGAATAGAGGAGAGTGATATACTAAGTCTATGAAGCAGTAATCAGTGATATCAATCTTGCTAGATTAAATAATCAGAAATAAAATATGAAGGAAATGGGCACATTTATAAAATATTAAAATTTAAAAGTAGCCTGTGGGAGTAATTAAGATCACTATACAAAAAGAGGCTGTTGCCCTGAATAAGAGCAGTTCAAATTCTTTACTGATTTTATTTTAAAAGGTAAAACATAAGTAATCAGCTGGTCCAGGTCAAATTTCTTTGCCAGGAAATCAGTCACTGGTTTTGGAACATTCTCTCTGCTTTTCCAACCTATAAATAAGCTCACATTTTCTCTTTAGATTTTACTAAATGATCTTTACATTTTGTTATATTTATCCCTTCTCTCTCCAGTATTATCTTTCCCCATATTCTCAAGAGCACACAGACTGTATCTCACTTCTCTTAAGAAACAAAGTTTAAAAAATGTACCAAAAAAACCCTTTCTTGATGCCTGCATCTTCTTTTTGTTGCCCTGTATGTGTTCCTTTTACATAAAACTGTCTTTGCAGAAAGAATTGTCTCTAGTTCATTGGTTTCACTACCTTTCTTCCCATTCTCTCTGGAGCCTACTGAGCAGTCTGATGTTACAGCTTTTGTCAGGGTCACCCATGACACCATGGTCAATGTGAGGCCAAAGCTTGTTTTCTTTCCACAGTAACTGAGTTCTGAGAATGAGGGGCTTGTTGGTATGGATGGGGTTCTTTAGAGAAGATTCTTTAGAGGAAATAAAACTTGAATTATGGAACAAACAATACGAGTTCTAAGTTGAGCCTCTTCACTTTGACTATTTGTGTCATGTGGGGAGACTATGGACAATTCAAGAGTATTAAAAAGTAAAATTCAGTTGTTAGTAAATATCTCTTGAGTATATACTGAGTATCAGGCACCAATTCAGGGCTGAGAATATAGCAGAGGCAAAATATACCAAGTCCCTGATCTCAGGAAGCAAGAGAATCCTTTTGTTTTTAGCGCAGAAACACTAACAATAAATGAGTAATCCATGACAAGCACAAAGGAGAAATATAGAGTAAGGGCAGTAGGGAATGACGGTAGGGAGGTAGGGAAGGAATACTCCTTCATAAAGCTCAGGAAAGGGCTGCCTGACAAAGTGACATTTGAGCAAAAACATAAAGGAAATTAGTTAGCTAGACATCTTGGGAAAGAATATTTCAAGGAAAGGGCAGAGTAAATGCAGAGGCCAACAAGGTCAAGTCTTGGCCTATGAGAAGGTGAGGGGATTAGTGCAGCTAGAGGAGCATGAGAACAGAAGAATAGTAGCTCCTGGGGTCAGAGAACCAGATCATATTGGGGGGGGGGGGCTTTTGGCCGTTGTGTATCTTGGGATTTTATTCTGAGTTAAGAAAGGAAGCTATTAGAGGGTTTTGAGAGAGGCGTGACCTGATCTGACTTCCATTTTTAACAGTCACACTCTGTCTGCTCGAGGTGAATATTCTATATGAGGACAAAGGGCAAAAGCATGGAGACCATTTAAGAAGTTACTGTAATGCAGGAAGGAGAGGATAGACGCTTGGACCAGTGATGGTGCTGGTGAGAAATGATCAGACCCTGGGTATACTTTGAAGATAGAGCCAATTTGACTTGCTGAAATATTCATTATTTGAGAGAAAGAGCATAATCCAAGGTTTGGGACCTGAGCAACAGGAATGACGGAGGTATCATTTGCTGAAGTGGGAAGACTGGGAGGTACAGGTTGAGGGCTAGAGTAGAAGCGGTGGAATCAGGCATGGTCTGGGGCAAGTTAAGTTTGCATGCCTATCAAACATCCAGGTGGAGGTGTCAGATAGCTAATTAGATGTGAGTCTGTAGCTCAGGTGGAGGTCTAGGCTGAAGATAGAACCGTAAGTGTTGTAAACAATGTATTTAAAGCCATGAGACCAGAGATCACCTTGGAAGTAGATGGAAGTAAAGAGGAGAAAGTCTAGGACCGAGCCCTAGGATACTCCAAAGTTAGATGTCTGAGGGATGTAGAGGATCCAGCATAGATTCCTGGAAGGACTGACCAGTGAGATAGGAGAATTAAAAAAAAAGAGAGAAGAAGAAGAACAGAGTAATATCTAGAAGCCAAGTGAACTGAATGTTTGAGAAAAATGGAACCACCAGTTAGATCAGATCCTGCTGATAGTTCATATAAGACCAGGACTAAGAATTGGCCATTGTCTATGTCAGTCATTTCAGTGTGAATCTCAATTGTCCTTATAAAATGTAACAAGCCCCTTTTGCATCTTTTGGCTCAGAGTCCAGAATTTTTTCTGATGCTGTTGTGAATTGATTACATTCTATTTTTCATACATGTTCTTATGTATATTGAGAACAATCAATTAGAACTTCTTGTCCCGTAAGATCATCCCAGTGGAGACAGTGCTGGTGCTTCTTATCAGGCCTTTGAGGAACTTGAGTTACAGATGCTAATATTACACATGTGCCCACTAATAGCCCTAAGTCAAGGGAAGGGGTGGGTAATTACCTTTTGCATCATCGTGGTCATGGTCTCATTTTATACCTATTCTTGCAAGTCCTGTAAGGGAGATATGATGAGATAATAGGCATCTCTTACTTGTTGAAGCCCCAGAGTTAAAGACACCACTCTCAGG